ATCACCAGTTTGACTTCACTGATGTCACATCTGTTGGGTGCACGTGTAAGTAGCTTCCCCAACACAAAAAGAGAGCTCCATAGAAAGAGTCATCTACTAGAATGCTGATGCAGCACTTACTGGTCTGACCCAGTATCAAGACACTGGTGGCTGTATCATTTTCTGAAAGGAGCTGAGGGGAAGGGCCTCCTCACCCTTGTGATGTGCATGCAGGAGGAATGATGTCCTTTTTGCCACTAAGTGCTTCTGTGAATTTTTAGGGTGGGATGCAGAACAGAACAAGAAAGGGAAGACTTGTGCAGCAGGAGGACAGAGTCCCTGCGGATACCGCACCGCTCCTTGATGATGAAGCAAGAGACAAAGGCTCAGTTAATTGAACCTCTGCAGTCTGAGAAGAATGACAGCTGCCAGACACAGCACTACCCTGTCTGAAAGTTGATTTCTAGTGCATGCATTTTAAACATGGTTAAGGGAATCTCAGAGGGAATTATGTACAGACAGTGCTTCTACTTTCTTGTATCTGGCACTCAAATGAAACACGGCAGTCATGCGGTTCTCCAACACACACAAACCTGCATGGGGTGCTTCAAGAACTACACTACACTAAGTGAAACCACTCCAGCCCCAGCTTGTTCATAAGCCACTAGATAGCTGCTTTGCAGTCTTGCATAGAAGCTAATAAGATATCTAAGAAGCCATAAGATATACCTGCCTGTACTACTGTTGCTCAGTCACAAGAATTCTGTGTATCAGAACTTCTTGATCCCTGTACCTCAGTAGGCCTGTCCCACCCTACTGCCCTACATTACTGTGCATCTTGTACAAATCAGATATCCAAAATAATGCTAACCTTTAGGCTGGAGGTTGGAGACCAAGTTAATCAAAGGGATTGCCTTTTGCCCTCAAGCATAGCTTAATTGCACGTTACCTTAGCAGCAAGGTTTCCACAAGCACTGCCCATTCATTTACCCTCAAAAGCATAAGAGGTTTCAATCTGAAGTTTTGTCCTTTAAGCCAGGGTGCTCTCACTCATTAATGGCTTGCTTTACTTACTCAGTTGCCCTTTTCACTATGCAAAATGCAAACACACCAGCTGTTTACAGAAACACAAGTTATGCTTCAAGAATGAAGTAAGCCTTTAACATGGCCAAGTGCAATGCATGCTGAAATAAATGACTTAAATTAATTATAACAAATTCGTAAGTGAAAAAGTTCTGTTCAAGTTACATTTAATGTGAGCAGTAAAAGCACTAAAAGTCACTGAGAGCATGCCAGTAAAGTCACCTCCTGCGTGGTGATCAGAGAGGAATCCATCCATTACAGCAAACTTTTCTCAAGCCTTTTCCACTGATGGAGACTCCACTTCCTCTGTACAACCTGTTCTCATATTTGACCACCCTCATTGGTAAAAATAAAAACAAATTGATTTTTGTCCCATCTTGTCCTGAGCAGATTCTGGCTCCCTGTTTGCCTCCTAGCAGGTATTTATGCCCACTGATAAGCTCTCCCTAAGCCATCTCTTTTCCAGGCTGAACCAGCCTCAGCCTCTCCTCCTATGAGGAGAGGTATTATTGAAAAAAAATATATATATATTATTGAAAAAAACCCACATTTATCATATACTTATGCTGCAGGTTTGCCTACAAAAGAAACCATGTGTTCAAAAGAGCTGACTTTGTGTGTCATATTTTACCGACACCTGGCTCCAAAGCAATGACTGTCAGTCAAATCAGGCTGATTAATTAACAGGAGGTGATCAGCCTTCCCAGTTTTTATACCACATATTGCTGCAGCTAAACTCAGTGTGGCTGTAATGAGTGCTGGAACATGCACTAAAGTTTGTACTTGTTTCACTATGGAAGCTCATAAACCTGCCAGTCCTTGTTTGTCATCCCATCATCTACTTCCTGGTTACAACTTTACTTTCCTGTTTTGAGGAAGAGCTGTGCTACACTTTTCATAGAACCTGCCCGTGGTTAATGGTTCTCATGAAGATGTAGCCTGGAAGTTTTACTGCCTACCAGGTGTCATTGTGAAGCTTTCCTATGTATTTGTGCATTGCAGCATGTAACATGAAAACTTCTGTTAGTTTTTTAATGAACACCACTGCAAAAATCCCTGCAAATGTTCTTAAAAACTCATATCATCTGAAAAAGAAATAAAGGGCGGGAGCAACAAGGAATTCCTAGCAGCCCTACTGTCTGTTGGCCCATCTTTGGGCTAGGAGGACCCTACTAGAGCCTCTTACAAACTGTTTCCAAAAGGCTGTTCATGTCTTTCTGCTCAGACTTAAAAGGCCTGAAGCTGATGTAACTACAGTAAGGAGGCAGAGAACAAGCAACAGTACCTGTGCATCCTCACGTGAGTACATCAGCAGCTTCCTGCCACTCCTGCTTAACTGCTCCTTTCATTCATTACTCCAAACGATGACAAGAAAGCTTTGCTTTGCCTGTCTTCTGCTTGTTTGACAGCAGCTGCTGCAGTGTCAGAGCTCACTTCTGAGAAACTTTTCCAGAAGTAATTAAGTGGTTCTCTATATTCATTAAGCCTGCCACAAAAATGAGAGTGGCTTTCGCAGAAGTCAATATGCTGTAATAAAAGGAAAGTAACAACTCGGTTTGCATCTGTTTAATTTCTGTAGTGCTGCATTTACATTTACAGGAGGTAACTGAAAGTCCCCACTCCTTACCCTCTCTCTAGCCCTGGGCAACCCTGGAAATAGTATAATCAAGTTCTTTTGGATAATGTTATTTGGCAGAACCTTTATTTGCATCCAACACACTGGATAGCAACTTTTACAACAAACTATGCAAAACTAGAAAGGGGACTTCAGGCAGCTCACACTGAAGTTTTTTCACTCATCTTTTTGCCAGCACTACTCCAGAGCACACTCCCAGAATCCAGCATGTTGAACACTTTAAAACAGTGGAGCACACAGTTACATACATTCACATGCAGTGGCAGCTGAGGAAAAGCCATCATCTTCACAAACTAACAGGCACAACAGTGTGTCCCTGGTCACTTCTGATAGATACTTCTATGCTTCTGTTATGCTTTAACACAAAGCCATTTGGTTTTGACTTAAGTGGCATACAGTATGTATTGGGGAGTATAATGGGAAGGATAATCAAGTAGGCAGCATAGCCTATTTAAAATATATGTATACGTAGGAGGGAAGAGGTAAGGTAGGAGTCCAGAATTAGAAGCTGGCTGGAGACAAGCTGATGGGTAAAGCAAATGAAAGCATTCTTGCCAATTACAGTCAGCATTTCAAGCTGCTTGAAGAAGAGGAGATTGTGTTAACAACAGGCATTGCAACTTGAAAGAAAGTCACATTCAAGTGGATAATCTTCATTCGCAGCAGCAAGATAAAAAAAATAGGGCTGTAAATTTAACACAGCACTTAAAAACCATTCTTTCTGTTCATTAACTATGCTTGCAGGAAGGGGAGCAGGAACCAATTGGTCAAGAAGCCCACACATCCACACAGTTCACTGCCAGTTTGTTGGGGTTCCGTTCATCAATTTTTGGCTAGCAGTAAATCATTACTTTGTGTCTGGCTGATAAAAAGTAGTCACATAAAAGGTCTGTTATTGTAATAGCCTCATAGTTTATGCCCACGTAAGTCCGTATCCTTCTGCTTTCTGTAGTCAACACGACATCCTGGTTGTGACACTTCTTTATTTTTCAAGAAAAACGAAGAAATTAATGCAAAACCCCCAGCCTCAGCATTCTAAACCTTCATCTTTCCCACAGGGATGCTATACTGGATGTCAGCAGAGCGTGAAGCACAAGTTAAATAACAGACAATTCAGAGGACCTGAACAAAGTGCTAGGTGCCAGCTGACTCCTGAACTAGAGACACTTTGACGGGCAAACATCCAACAGTTCTCCATCACACGATCACCAGATAACTATGACAAGTAAAAAAGCAGTAATGCGACTTACTTCAAGCAGTCAGTACATCAATATTCTTCATCAAGAATGAAAACTGTGGGTGTTGCTTACCAAAGGTCACGCAGTGATGCAAGAGAACAACATCAGAAGATGCTTAAAAATGTAATGCACAACAGTCAGCAGTCTTAACAGCAGAAAAATTGCACTGATCTTGATTCAACATAAGACATATTTGCATTTTCCTTCCACAACTGGACCAGTAACCTGGATAACAATCTACGCCAAGGATGCTTCAAATCCTCAATTTAGGGGCAAAGTAATGAAGTTATGTGCAGAGCTGTGAAATGAAACTGTTCTGTAGTCTACAAGGACAATCTCTTGTTACCAGTGCAACAAGCATCAAGGACATTCACAGGTTCTCACACAAAGATCCTATCCAAAGCACTGTGCATACTTGAGAGAAGAGTTTTTAACTGTAAGTGGCAAATTTCTCTGTGCAGAATAGAAAAATGACTAGTAACAGGTGCTAAGTGAGAGGCTCTGCAGGGCATCACAGCCTGAAACTTAAGGCATATATCAGCAGACAGCCTCGCTGAGAAGCCACCACGTCCAACTCACCTGAACTGAAATGATGGTCACCCCGTTCTTTTGGCAGAGATAACATGGCACAGGAGGGCAGTTTTACACTCACTGGAAGTATAGATGTAGGAATACAACTTCTTCACATAAAGAGAATCCTCTGCTTAAGGGGAGCTATTACACTGTACTACAAATAAGACTTAAATATTAAAAATATTTGAATATTCAAACCAACACTGAAGAGCACAACAGCATTCCTGTATTGTGGAGAACACGAAATGTTATCTCCCCCCCAAAAAATAAGCCTGACTAGCCCACCCTTGCTGCATGCCTTAACTCCCCAGGGGTAAGAGATGTTTTCTCATGAGCAACCTCAGGTAGGGTGACATCTCCAAAGCTTTACATTACGGAAGGCCCAAGAGCTTTGTGCAACTTTTCCAATTTCAGATAAAATTCAGTGTCATTCAGCTACACCACCAATTAATTTATAAGAGCACACATCTACAGCACACGGTGAAGTAGCAAAATACAGAGGTTTATTGACAAGTGCATGATTCATCATTTGATTTCAAATCATCTTTTGTGGCAGAGAAAGGCTCTTAACAGGTTCACTTGAAGAACTGGAGACACGGTTTAGATAGGAAACAAACTAACCAATGTAAAGGCCCAGTCTGAAGTCTGTTTAAAAGACAGGCACTGTAGCCAATGCACTAAAAGATGACAAACCTAAGCTCAGTATTAGAGATAACATCAATTGTACCAGATCTTTTAATGCAGAAAGCAGCTTCTGGTTGAGTTTTTTTTTGTTTTTTTTTAATGTAGTAACCTCTTAAAACCTTGTCAAGTATGGAACAAGGTATTGAAACACAAGTGATTGAAGCTCAGCCAGAGGCATGGCAGCACAGACTTGATAAAAGCTGCTAAGAAATACATGTTTGGAAGTAGCATAAATGCAATATAAGGTTTATGTTAGAATCCTTGTGTTGTTCTTCAAGGGAGCCAAACAACAGAGAGCCCCAAATCCACGTGAAAGACACAGAAGCTTTGGAATTCCTCCTTTCCATGGTATTTAGATCCTTCGTATTGCCTCACATATTTCACTTTCACAATCTGAAAAGACAACTAAGTCTTCACACAGTCATCCACCACTTCTGACAAACTAAGCAGAGCAGACTATAAACAGAACAGACTAATAAGCACCATAATCAAGAGTGTTTTTTAGCACCTCACCCAGAGAAAGTTCCCCCTAAACAGCAGCAATTTTCAGGGAACCTGGGCTAGAACAGCAGTGAATATACTCAGATAAGGCCACTTGTTCTTTGGTGAACCTGAACAACTCCTGTTTGCAAATGTCAATTTTAAAAAGTCACTACTAAATACACTGAACTGTCTAAGCACTTAATTTGACATTCAAATAAGAAAGCTCTGAATATGATCAGAAAGCCCATTCAGAGAAGCAATGGTGGGAGCTGCCCTCCCCACATACTCTTGTTCAATAAACGCACATCTTCCAAACATGATTTAAGAAAGCCAGCATAAACAAAAAGTCTGTATTGTCTTTGCTTCTCCAACTAGGATAGTCTACAGTATGACTCAAAACAACTACAATCATGGTTTGGGAAGAATTCAAATAGCTTTCTTCCTTAGCAACAAAAATCTGAGGCAGTCAAAGGCAAATGCGAGGCTGACTGAAGACGAGAGCATTCACTAACAGAGTCAGCACAGGCAAACGAAAAAATGCACCGTGGTGAAGACAGCATCACAGTCCTGGTTTCCGCAGCGTACAAAAGTAAAAAACCATTGCAGAAACTAAGGCATTTCTATACAGGTTGGGCTATCAAAGCCAGCTGGCTAGACATCTCACACATTTTCTACAGTAACTGTAGATCAGATGTTGTTTCTGTTCAGAGAGTACTATTAAGCAACTGCTTGCACTCATACCTTTTCCATAAAGCGTGCAAGCACTCAACCATGATACTTTCATTTAAAGACTTCTAGAAGCACCTACATGAAGCAGTACACTGGATTGGTGTTATCATTTAGCTAGAGCTACTCATAGTAATCAGCAGATTACTGAAGGCAGAAGAAAGGCCTGAATGCTCTGGGGAGGGGAAAAAAATAAATCAAATCTATTAACATATGGTGATTTATGAGAGTATAAAAGAGACCTTCAGCATGTTTTGCCCTCATATCAGCAATCACATGCTGTGAAGCAAGAAAGGAAAGAGAACCAAAGACTAAAGTCTCTCAGGAACACGGCAGCACTAGTTGTTCCAGTGGAACTATTTACATTAAAGTGACTGCAAGTCAACTCACACTGTGAAGCTGTCTCCCACTGCCAAGAACAAAGCTCAGCCTACCTGCTTTGCTTCAAAATATTCCAGATGTGACCTCCAGGTCCCCACCCATTCACAACGCCTTACACGTTGACTGTACAGAGAAGCCTAGTTCCACCAGCATGTCCTGAGCCACTTGCTAGCCCAATGAACTCACCACAAGGTAGCACTGCTCTTTCACAAAGTTACACTAATGTTCCCCTCCACCACCCACCTAGGCAGTCCCATACTCCTGTCTTCCACAGGGCATCCCTTCCCTCCCTCAGCCCTCCCTCCCCAGATCATCAGTTTTCTTTTCCACACACTTTAGCACAACCCTCATCCATCAGCCTAAGGATCTATCCACAAACAATACCCTGAAAACTGACCTTGCAACCACAAACCAGAGTTTCTGTGCAGACTCCGTTAGTGAAAGTGAACAGATGACCCTAATAGAATGCAATGCTAGATTTTCCACCCGGGGGATTGAGAACTTTGTTGTGTGAGCGTGGCCTCGGCCCTAATCTGGGCTCATGATTGTCTATCTTGGGTTCTGGCTCCTTGCATCGCTCCTCTTTGCCCACATCTTTTTTCTCGCCACCATCTTCCAGCTGTGGTTTGTTATTTTCTGCAGCTGAATAAAAAGAAAAAAAGGATCAGACCAACTTGCACACTTTAGTGAAGCAGCACTTTTTGTACGTGTCTTCCCAAGTAGACAGAGTTCTTCCCAATGTCTCCCATCCACAGCACACCAAGGACATGGTTTATACCTATTCATCTTTACTGAAGGAAACAGATACCAGGAAAGAATTTCACTTTTGTAGTAGTTTCCTTCCTTAAGCAGTATCTCTAGAAAAGATATGTAGGCTAAGCAATGTACCTTCAGAATTATTTTGGCACTTTCAGGCAATTAAGAGATGCAACATACCAAGCAATTCTGTCATATCAAGCCCGAAAACCACGCACTCATCATTCCTTAACTATAATTAGCAGAGCAACAGCACATTTTGTCAGTCAGTTATTTGTTGTTTACAGCTAGAGGATGTCTAGATTACACACTTGTAGGAGATGGCAAAGGAGAAAGAAAGAATCTATTAGGGTGTTTTATAAATATGCAGATGTATCTCTATCTACAGTATCAATATGGTACCAAGCAAGGTATATACGCACACTGTACACGTTATCAAGACTCATGCATGTGATGTTCTCCTCAATAAGAGGAAGAGGTCAATTTCCCTGAAGTCATATGACTCAGTTTCTGACTGAGAAGGAAAACCTCTCTGCTATATTATGCTAACCTCTGGTGTTAGACTTATGTTTTTAAGAGGAAGCCCAAGAAGCTATCCCTCAGAGTACATATTCTCAAAAACAACAGTTTCTCTTGCTGACCTTCTGGCTTCTTTGGTGTTTCGTCTTCCTTCAAGACGATGTGATCCTGCAATGAAACCAGAAACAACCTTAGTATAGCACTGTTCTCAAACAGTAACCCTGTCACAGAATCTTCAGAAGACTTTGCTTTGTTTCTGACCAAAGTCCACTTGTTTATCGTGGTAAGAGCTGATGGCCACAGACACTGTGCACAGCCCTGCATCCCCCCACCCCGGCGTAATCCCAAAAGCACTACTAGAATTAAACTCTCAAAGTTTACTTCTACTTTACGTTCAGGTGCACATCTCAGACAATTCACTGAAACAAGTGGAAACATTACATTAACTCTTCAGATGCTTAAAACCTGCTAACAGACAGCTCAGCCCAAAGGCCAAGAATTGTCCCTGTTCACTGCAGGGGTGTTAGAATAGATGGCCTTTAAGGGTCCCTTCCAATTCAACAATTCTATGATTCCAATTAGCACACTTGACAAATACCTAATATCACTTCAGAGAAGTCAATTCTTAACCCAGAGCAGCTAGAACACAAGCAGCCCTGCAGCACTCACACTGGTAAGTAGCAGCTCCTGTTGTAGGCAGGCATCAACAGCGACCCAAGCAGGACAGTAATTAAAGGCTTTTGAGACCACTTTCCCAACAACATTAATTGATCATCAGAAACGCACAACAATTCTTCAGAAAAGTTTCCCTGTTATCCCCACCCACAAAAACTCATTTGCTACAATCACTGCAAGTTGCAATCTCCTGTATTTCCCATCACACCAATGCTGTAGCTAAACTCATAGGAGTTTCCAAAGGTTCGTCCTTCATTTAGACAGGAATTCATGGGAATTAAAATGTTACACTTAAAAAAAGCTGAGGAGTCATAGAGCAGATGGGTACAGAGGAACAAAAAGCACTTTCCTACTTTGGCAGCACTACTCCCAACACAGCCTTTCTTTCCTTCCTCCCTTATCACCCAATGCCTCCCAAATAAACTACAGATCTCACACTAAAAGTTAGGTGAGAGCCCACGACCAGCATCTTCAAATTTAAGGGGGAAAATAGAGAAAACTAAATTGGTGCAATCTTTCTTTCCTAGGGTTCCAGGAAAAAGGAGGCTGCTAGTACATTCCCATCATTAGGAGTGTCAGCTGCACTGCAGGTACCTGACATCTCAGAACCACTGAAACACAGCAATCACTCCTTCCTTCACAAGTACCAACTTCCAGGAAAGCAGCAGTAGTTAACCAAAACAAAGAGCTTTTGAACACAAAAGCTGAATATAATTTGCAAAGTTTACTTTTTTTTTTTAATTTTTCAAAACTCAGATATGGTTGCAACCACAAGCCTCTCCAACTGTTCCACATTCCAGCTTTCAAAGTGACAAATAATAACTGATGTAGCAAGATATGCGTTCATCTGACATCACAGAACCACGGCAGATCTGGCACTCATAGCTGACCTTCAGTTAGTTTTCTCATATTGGTCACTTCAGCTTAATCCCCTGCTGGAGCTCTTTCACAGTGAATGCAGATGCATGTATTTGGAAGAGGTGAAGATGACAGCAAGGTCACTGCAGCTCACTGATATTCACTGGCTTGCCAGAGTGGGTGTCAACATCACCTCTGCCAAACTGCAGAGTAAAGAGAAAAACCTCTTACCCATCTTAAAAGATCTCTCACCTGTGTGACACGAAAGCTCCAGCCAAACCTCACCTAAAACCAAACCACTCAGAAGCACTTTTTTTTTTAACACAGTTATTAAGAGCAATTAACAGTTTTATCACCAACTGTCAGCGCGTTGAGAACCAACACACCACAGATAAACTATTAAAAGAGATTTCAGGACTAAGTGTCCAATCTGAAGTCACCCCATGCATCATTTAGGTTTGTCACCTCAAGAACAACAGGCATTGCTGTATGGCTGAGCAGACTCCAGACTCACTGGGCTGCCAGCCCCTTGGTCCAGTGAGAGCCAACCAATACCTTAGGCTTGTTTGGGTGTGCTCGCACAACGTTGGTAGATACTGGAGAGCCAAAGATATCACTTGTCTTCCCACCGGGTGGATTCATACGTGGACGAGGCTGAGCTGTACCAGAATCCTCAAAAATACCACTTTCTTTTCCCCCTGAAAAACAGACGGTTTTGTTTTTTTTCAGGTGACTTGGTTTTACCAAACTATTAAAAAAAAAGTAACAATTCAAAGACTTCTGGAACCTTACTAGCTACAGACTGATTTTCTCTTACCTGAAGATACCCTTTGAAATCCTTTGTTACAAGAATTCAATAGAGATCTCAGATTCACAGCTGTACTCAGGGCAGCCAGCTGACAACAGAGCTCTAGAATAGAATCAGCTTCCTTTCATCACTTCCTAGGCCTCAACTCAGAAAGAACTGGCCTTGATGTGCTAAAAAGCCTATGAATATGTAAGTCACTGAAATATTCATACCTTCATGTATGTGAATAGATTTAGTGCTCAGGCCCAATCATGCTGTAAAAACATGACAGACAGCAGCATTCCACAGCAGCAGCACAAACCCAGCTCTGCTCAGCAATTCAGAGCCCAGCCATGCTGTGGGAGTGGCTGCCCTTACCTGGAGGGTTTGTTCTTTTCGGAAGATTCTGTGGTTCTTCTGATGCTCCAAAGATATTGGATGCCATTCGGTGTGGCTTGCTGGAAGAAGAAACTTCTTCTGCACTTCCAAAGAGGTTACTGGACCCTCCTCCAGGGGGCTTCAGAACCCTGCAGCACAGAAGGAGGGAAGCAAGAGATGAATGTCTGTTTGGAAACATATTTGATGCCCTCCTCCACATTCTCTCCTGTAGGCCACGATTAACTACTCTGATTTGAATTTACTTCAGACAAATCCAAGCCCATGAAATATCTACTTTTCAGCAGATGTCCTAATAAAATATTCTCAAGTTTCACACAGGCACTGCCCACCTCCTCAGCTGTAACCTGAAATGGTCCAACAGTGGCACCAGAGCAAACTGCTGTGCTGCCTGTGGTCTGCCAGACACAACATGGGATTAAGACACAAACCAGGGTCAGAAATCTTCTCCTGAAAACAAGCCATTAATTACAGCATCGGACTTTTCTGCTGAGCTTCATTTATTGACTTTGCATCTCATGTGGTTCAAACAAATTTTTACAAGTAAAAGTTAGACAAACAGAGTCAGACATCACTACTGAAAATGTTCTGGTTTAACCATCAGGTATGATATTAGGTGCTGCAGAGTTGACAACAGAAATGAAGATGCAAGAAGATAAGTTTTCAGTTGTTGATGCAAAACCACTGAGATCAAAGTTCTGCACTACAGGAATAGCAAAGAGATCCCATTAAAATTGAAGATTATATTAGAAATTGATTGACTTATTGAAATCTACCAAAAGTCATGCTTGCCATTAAATAAGCCGGCAGCTAATTACAATGCCCTGTCCAACGCTGTGTCCTGTCCTGAAAGAGAAGAGAACCATTACCTGGGAGCAGTGCAAGTGGAACTGATTGGAAAATCCACAGAAAAAGCACAGCAATGCCAACACAGGCATTGAAACCCACCTTCACAGTTGTATCTACTTGATCAATTATCTGCAATCTTAGAAGCTGAGCAAAGCTAGCAGCTCAATTACACCTCTTCTACTCCAAACACCTGATCTGGACCCTAACAAACCTCTCCTTTTATACAAAGAAAGCAGTAATAAATTACAGGATCTTTAACACCACCCCTCTAGATGAACAGAATTCAAATGTCAGTGAATTAACAATGCAACACAGCACAGCACTCCATCATCTGCAGCAGAGGGCAGCCAGTGCAGACATCAGGTGTAAGAAGGGGCTCCTCTCAGCCAACATCTTTTATTAAGATTTAATCCCACAAAAGCTGAGATATCAGCTGCCCCATCAGGAAATGGGCTCTGTCAGCACGTCGGGATGCAGAAAGCAGTTCTGTTCTCTTTGTGAGGAGGGAGACAGCAGTTCCCATTTTGGTCTGGGAGTAGTTTATTTATAACAGAAGCAACCTCAGAAGGATCTTGCCTTTACTGGACAATTCCAGCACTCCAGCCCTTAGCACAGCTGGCTTCCATAAACCTCTTGAGTTTGAGGAAGCAACTAAAAGCTGTGCAGACAGGACCTGAGCAGAAGGCTGATGTACAGGACAGTGTTCGACACGCTATGGATCTAACTACTCTACAGGCTTTCCATACACTTCAGGAGATCTAAAATTGCTATTAAAGCATACATCACATGGGCAAGTTACATTTTCTAGACTGTTGTGAATGATGGAAATGTGTAAGAAGCACTTCCAGTACTTAAATTTGGGAGACAGAATGGAGAACAAAGGCAACAAGAACAAACAAGACAAGTCTGAGAAGGGGCTGTGGTTAAAGCAGTAAGCCTGCTGCTACCTCACAGAACTGGGGTGATTTCTGACTTCCAATCACTTCAGCTATTTCTATGCACTTACTCTTATCTGAGCTCTAGGTGTACTAACCTGAGTATGCTACCACAGAGGCTGAAAGGAAGAGAGAAGTAGTTTAAACATGGAAATTAAGCACCCCCAGTTAACTGGAAGTCTGTCAATTCATCTCAAGCAGCCAAACTACGAACCTGCCCTGTATGTATAAAAGCCTCTATTAATTGCTTTGTTCCCTCCTAGCAGGCTTGAAGAATTTTAATCAGGTCTTGTGGGCTTTTTTTCTGCATTCAAACACTGAATTTGAACATTCTTTCCCAATTAAGCCTTTCAGCCAAGCTATGGAAGGAGCTCCAGGGCTTATCCATTACTTCAACACTGTGTCTACCCACCTATATTTATATAAATCACACACCTACAGTTATGTACATCTGGAAGTTGAACGCTGAAGCCCTGCTGGTTCTCAGACAGTTCTATGAAAGAAGGTAAAAGAGAAGAGCTGCATTCCACACCAGAGACCACCGCTATGCCAGCGAGGAGAAGACAAACGCCAAGGTGTGGAACAATGAGCTCTGAAGCAAAGACCAGAAAGCTGCTGGTCAGCTTCTGCTGGTGGGTCACTGCAGGCTCCTTGCTCACTGAACAGCTCACCTGTCTTACAAACAAACAGCAAACTTCAGAGCAGTTATGCTACTGACCCGAAAGCCCTGCAGCACGCCGCAGTGATGCTGGTGGAGAGGAGGGCAGAACGTGTGCCACGCTGTCGTGTTAGCAAGGCTAACAATAAGGACAACATTCAGCATTTTTGGCACAGCAGTTCGGAAGCTGCTCACACACCGGAAAAGAGCCACAATTGATGAAAGGATCGAACACCTCCTCCCACGTGGGACAGGCTGAGAGCTGGGGCTGTGCAGCATGGAAAAGGCTGCAGGGAGAGCTGAGAGCAGCATTCAGCGTCTAAAGGGAGGCCGTAAGAAAGAAAGGATGGATCTTTTAGCAGGGACTGCCGTGACAGGACAAGGGGAAACGATTTTCAGCCTGGAGAAAAGAAGGCTGTGGGGTGACCTCATTGCAGCCTTTCGGTACCTAAAGGGAGCCTACAAACAGGAGGGGAATCAACTCTTTGAAAGGGTGAGTGACAGCAGGACAAGGGGAAATGGTTTTAAGCTGAGGGAAGGGAGATTTAGGTTGAACATCAGGGGGAAATTCTCTACAGGGAGAGTGGTGAGGTGCTGGAACAGCTGCCCAGAGAGGCTGTGGATGCCCCGTCCATCCCTGGAGGTGTTCAAGGCCAGGTTGGATGGGGCCCTGGGCAGCCTGGTTTAGTATTAAATGAGGAGGTTGGTGGCCCTGCATGTGGCAGGGGGTTGGAGCTTCATGATCCTTGAGGTCCCTTCCAACCCTGGCCATTCTGTGACTCTGTGAAGAAGTTCGCTACAACACGGGCAGCGAAGCAGTGGCACGAGGCGCCCAGGGAGGCACCGCAAACACCGCGGTCAGGCTGCTGGGCTCCGCGCAGCCGGCGGAGCTGCAGGCGCTCCAGTTCCCAGCGGGGGAGCGGGACCGGATGGCTCCGAGGGGCATTTCCGACTCCAACGCCTCTACGAACCGACGATCCACGAAAACAAACGTCGCGGAGCTCCGCGCCTCTCCCGGCGGCGGCCGCAGGGCTGCTCGACCTGGAAGCGCCCCGCGGCGAGCGGCGCAGGACGCCGCGCGTTACCAACAAACAAAGCTCCGTTCAGATCCCCGCGGCCGCTCAGGGCGGAGCCCGGCTACCCGCCGCGCGGGACAAAGGCGGGCCGGGGAGCGGCGCCCAGCCCGCAGCCGGGGCGCGACGCGGCTCCGCGAGGGAACGACGAACCGGGAACGACGAACCCGCGGCCGCTTCCCGCGGCGCGGCGCCGGAGCCCCCGGAACGCGGCCGCACCCCCCCGGCCGCCGCCCCTCGGCGCCGCGCCCCGGCCGAAGCCCCCCGCGCGCCGCCGACCCGCACCGAGCCCCGAACCGAGGAGCCCGCGGCGCCCAGCGGCCCCCGGCCGCCTCACCTGGAGCTGGGCTTGGCCGGCTCGGCCTCGGGGCCCTGGAACATGATGCGAGAGTGCGAGCCGCGCGGCGCTCCTCCTCGGCCGCCTGGGGAGCGGGTAGCGCCCCGCCCCGCCCCGCGGTTGGTGATTGCCGCTGTCCAACAAGGCGAGCAGCCTATCGGAGCCGGTTCGCCCCTCTCGGGGTCCCGCCCAGCCTGAGCGCCTCGCAGCGGGAGGGAAGCTTGAACGCGGCACGCGCCGGCGCCGGGCCCGGCCGGCTCCCATTGGCAGCTCCGCGTGTCAATCAGGGAACAACGGAGCGAAGGGGAAGGGCGGGGCGAGCGGGGAGGAGATTTAAAGGGGCAGCGGGGCCGGACAGCGCCGGGAGGGGGGCGGGGAGGGTTCTGTGGGCGAATCAGAACCGTAGAATTGCTCAGGTTGGAAAAGTCCTTAAGGATCATGGAGTCCAGCCACAACCCAACCACACACCCTAACTCTAACAGCCCACCCCTAAATCACGGCCCTGAGCACCACATCCAAAGGGATTTTAAACACATCCAGGGATGGTGACTCAAACACCTCCGTGGGGAGCTCAACCAGTGCTTAACCACCCTTTTTGTAAAGCTTTTCCTGATATCCAACCTAACCCTCCCTGGTGAAACTTGAGGCCACTTCCCCTGGTCCTGTCACCAGTGAGAACAGACCAGCCCTGCTCTGCTGTTGTCACCTTTCAGGTATTGGAAGAGAGCAGTCAGGTCTCCCCTCAGCCTCCTCTTCCCCAGATTAAACAGCCCCAGTTCCTTCAGTCTCTCCTCATAGGCCATATTCTCCAAGCCCCTCACAGCCTTGCTGCCCTTCTTTGGCCCTGCTTCAGCACCTCCACGTCCTTTCTGTATTGAGGTGCCCAAAACTGAACACAGTGCTCAAGGTGAGGCCTCACCAGTGCTGAGTACAGGGGCAGGATGACTTCCCCAGTCCTGCTCACCACACCATTCCTGATCCAAGGCAGGATGCCATTGGCCTTCTTGGCCAGCTGGGCATTGCTGGCTCACATTCAGCCAACTGTCCATCAGCACACCAAGCTCCTTTTCCCAACGCTGTTGGGAAGAGCTGAAGATTTCTCAGAAAGGAGCAGCTGAGCTCACAGGGCTGTGCCTTCCAGCACACGGATGGGAGCTGAATCCTCACCCCTGAGATGAGGCGGGGGCATCGTGCCTCTGAAGATGTGCTTCATTCTTCTCCCAGGACTACCCTTGTGCTTTCTGATTTGCTGAAACGGGTATGAAAAAGGAATCAGAAATGGGAAAGGCAGCATAGGATAATTCAGGCTGAAAGGCACTTCAGGAGTCCTCTGGTTGCTGGAAGCAGGGTGAGCCACCAGCAGCCTTGAAGAGCTCTGCTGAAGCTGCACAGCTGCTGGTAATGCCTTTGCTGCCTCAGGGTGGGTTTCCTCCAGAGTTATGGACATAAATGCAACAGCACAACACCTCCATTCCAAGCTCCTGCTCATCTGATACTGAAGATGTACTGGGGTGAGTGTGCTTGGGTGGGGGAAGAATCAAAAATCAAAATAGACTCCTCCTCCTTCCTCCCCCCAACCCTTGTTAGTGGTGACCAGTGTCCTGCACAGGAGAGTCAGGACAGAGAAGCCTCTGGTTGGACTTATTTCTGACGTTAACAATTAGAGAACACTACTGGGGATGGAAGCTGGAAGGTACTAAAAGAACTACAGCCCCAAATGAAAACATTCCCATCATGAAAATCCAGGGAATTCTGGGATGGGAGATATGAATGGTAATTATTCACACTGTAAATAGAGGTTAAATGGGAAGCTGATAGGCCATGAACTGCAGGGAACACACTGGACATGAGTTAGACCAAGTATTAGTATGTATTTATGCACAAGAATAAAAACAGCTTTACAAGTTGAATTGGAAATTTAAACAGAGGAAGTTTAACAGCTTTTGTATATTATATTAAATAACCAAAACACCTTTTTCCAAAATTGGTAAAGAATAAATAATATAATTTACAATATGGTACAAAAAAATAATCAGTAAGGACAAGCATTCTGCTTTATACATACACTATATAGGTATATTTATAATCTATAAAACAAATTCACATCTCAAACAAGCCAGAAACCTTAGATGATATGGCTTAACTATTATTAAAAGAAACAGCATTAAATTTTGCTGCCAGAACCATAAGCTCTAAAGCAGTTATCACGTTTCAATAATTAATGATAACTTATCGCCGTAGTGCTTGCCAAGGTTTCACTTAGTTAACATTTACAAATTGTTTTGAAATTAAGAGATTCAAAGGTTTGAAAAAGTTAAAAAAAAAAAAAAGTGCAGTACTTTCCTTTATAAATGCATCCGAAGTTTGAGAGTGAAAACCAAAATGCAACTTAATCTCCACTCCGGGATCTGTGAGTCAGTACATGAGATGGTCTGTAAGTTTAGGTTTGATCCAAGCTACTTAATTCAATTTAGAAATATAAACAGGGGTGTCAAGGAAGGCTTAACAAAGCCATACTAAAAACAATTAGTATTCCTATGCTTAGTAGATTTAGTGATAAAGGATAAAATGAACTGCGTGGCTCATCGGGGTGCAGCACCCAGAAGAAAGAGCACTGCAGCACAGCAGCTGATTCTCTGGGGGCAGAACTGCTTTTCACCCAGGCTGTTACAACAAAAATACCTTGCTGAGCCACTCAGTGCTCCTGCACTGTACATACAGTCACTAAACCAGCATGGAGCAAACCTAGCAGAGGTTTACAAGTAGAACTAGTAAAAAACTAAAGCCTTACAGCAATTAATACCAGAACTGGAGGTTCTTAGTGTCCATTTGTCCTCTTCAACTGTCCCAAGTGTAGCAGGCAGCTATTAAGCTGACAAAGTTATGTTTCATTCGAACAATCCTACCCAAATGTCAGCACAGCTTGCTTGAAGGGTTGCTTAAGATAAGCTGACATCGTTACAAACACAAATCCTCTTACTTCTGTCAGGGAAGCTGCAAAAATTAAAACTGAAACAAAAGTTTTGGCTTTTAGCAGTATGTATGTGTGCACACACACACATGTGCACACACGTGTACACACACATCCACCCACCAGTTTTTCCCTTAGGCACAAACTGCTGACAGTTGGTATGTAAAGCACAGAGAATACAGAGGTCAGTCAGATGTGTGTTTAAGTGACTTTCCATATGATAAGGGTAACGAGTTCTGCACTGATTCTGAATTATCACAACGATTTAAGTTACTGTCAAGTTTCTCCCTGATAAAGCTTTATTGTCCTGAAAGGGCTTAGTTATTGACATGCTGTTTGCAGAGCACTGCACTTCTGAAGTCAGAAGCCAAATACGGAAGGCAGGAGCCTTTAGGAACCACAGTCTGAAAAGACAGGACCACATCAAGAGATTCTGGTGAAAGAAAGGATGTTTTGTCATCAGAATTTTTAAGAGGCTGATGCTAAACACATTTCTAACCATAAAAGTGTTGGTGCTGAACCGACTTCTGTCATTTCCACTTTGTTATTACTCAGTGCTCCAAGCCTACTTGCAAGGGTCCAGCATGTTAAAACGCTCTGATCTCGGAGCAGCATTAGAAATAGCCACTATTTTGACATTATTCTTTTTCCTCTATGGCAACTGAATGGGCTGAGAAGGGACAGCTTGACAGCTCCCTGCATCAGGTGGCAGAAACTCTTCACAGACCTTGATGAAACGCTCTGCCATGTGGTGCAGCAACGCTGGCAGCACCTCTGGGCAATCTAAGAGTCAAAATTAGCACATATCCACTTAACTAGTGGCATGGATTGAGAAGATGAAATGTTTGTCAAGCTATCTGCGTAATTTAGAGACCACCAAGCTGGTCTTTCACAATTCTGAAGTTTAAGTTCAGACTTTTTATTGTTACAGTACTTGCTTGGAATACATCACATCTCCACCTGCATGTCCTGTAATCCACAGCCCGAGCTACACGAGGAGCCTCTGCTTCTGTTCTGCATGGCTGAAGGGTTTTTGGAGATACAGCATGTATGATAACCAGCACTACTAATATATGAAGCCAAAGCCAAATGGAGACACTTTGGCAGGACTAAATCAAAATATAGCTCAATTTTTAGCAAGACTTATCATGTTTTGGAGGGAGTGACTCGAGATTAATAGATATACTCTTCGTAACAAGGATGAATGCTCAGAATCACATAATCCTCAGCACCCACTCTTCTGATATCGTTTGAGATTTTAAATTCCAAGTTTCCTGATAATCGCATCACCATTCTCAAACAACACTCTGTAAGGATAATGAAAGAAATAAAGACCAGAGAACATCCCACGTGACACATGGCCAGCACAGAAAGTTAGCCCACAGGTATGAAATACTCCGTTTTTCTAGTCATGACCATCTTCCTGCTACTAATATAAGCCTGACTCCCTGCTGGGAACAACTGCTGGTTTTTACACAGGTCCATGGTTCCTATGCCAGAGAATGCAGCAAACATATGTGGTGCCTTGGAATGTCATATAAATCTCATGACTTCCTGACTGACATCAGTAAAGTTGCTCTGGGCTGCACAAAAGGTATCTCAGAAAACTCGTCACGTTTTCCCTAAACGATAAGAGCATAAGGCAAACTATGTAGCAGTAAACCAAAATCTATGTAAGCAGGGTAAAATGGGAAAACAGCAAATGCCACCAGTGCATCATGAGCAAGATTACAAGCAGAAAGTCTCAGTCAAATGCCTTGTAAAAGCATCTAAAGGCAGGCAGGCAGAATTCCATCCACCGAGTATAGTGCAAGTTGGGAAAGTGAACCCCTGATAAATGCCTAAGAAATGGGGAAGTTTTCTTTATTTAGTAATAATATAAAGTTGAGGTTTATATAGGACTGTCCCCTTGGATAATTTCAGAGCAACTTACAACAGCCAGAGGACAGCCTCTCACTGGAGAACAGACAAGTGCTAAACAAAGGGGCACAGAAAGGTACTCTCTCTCAAAAGTGGTAGGAAAGGAAATAGGAAAAGTCTCCTGAGTTATAAAGGTAGAATTGAAGTAAAAACCAACTGCAAAAAAAGTAACTTTAGATTCCTTTCAACCAGCTGGAATCAGGATCTGGGTCTTTCAGATGTTGAAACACTATCATTAAATGCATAGGGATTTAGCAGAGGGAGTTCCAGATCCATCAGTGCCTGGGAGCAACAATAAAAAAAAAAAAGATGCCCTG